TCCTTGATGATGATTCAATATCATCCCCCTTCTTGCTTCGTCGATTCTCTTCCTCTCGGCGATAGACACATATTTCATGGCCTTGGCAGAGATCACTTTCCTCACGAGCAATCTCCACCGCGCGTCATTCCCTTTTCGATCTTCTTGCATCTTTAATTTGAATTGTCTGCAGTTTAAAAAGAAAAAAAGAAAAACCCAAGTTGTAGAATTTAGACAAGGAAGAACGATGCATGGTTTATCCTTTTTTCTAAGATTCGTTATTTCAATTAGTGTGGTACATTATAGTAAAGGTAAATTATTTAATCCCATAGTAGCACAACACAACATCATTGAATGAAGAAGGTGCATATGGTGGAGCTTTTATCTTTTCCCCCCAAAAAAGAAGCTACATTTGAGATATAATTTATTCAATTGGTCCAACCTAAAATATCAAGAAGGTGCATATGGTGGAGCTTCTATCTTTTTCCCAACCAAAAAAGCTACAATTAATTTGAGACATAATTTATGCAAATGATCCAACCTAAAATATCTGGCAGGGCCTTCATAAATTGACCATCACATCTTTAAAAGGGCACACACATGAGGGCTCCATGATACTCAACAAGGTTAGAAAATGAACCCCACAATGACAGCTTGAATTATGTCATTTTCAAACATTTAAAGTTACTCCTCCAAGTCTCCAACTAAACCAAATGACACCAAATAATGGATCTAATTAGAGCCAAATTAATACTACACAATTAATTATTCCACTAATTAATCAGTACAAATTTTGATATACGCCTCGTTTTACCTGCACAAGGGAACCCTGCACTCGTCTGGTTGATCACAAATCGAAGAGTGCAGTCTGAAAAGCTGCCACATTCTCTTACAATGTGCGCATCCTCCATTAACCCTCTTCGTGCAAGAACCGAAATGCTTAATCAAGAGCTGAATCCCATGGCAAGTCGAGAACTTGCTACACGGGCCTTTGTGCTTGTTCGGGGCCATGTCGTAAGGCCCAACATTAGTGCAACCTTCCGAACAAATATGCTCGAGACATTCCATTGCTTCGCTCAGCTGCGCGTACAAACTCTGCTCTTGCCTATGCCTCCTTATCCTGTTTTTCCTCTGTTTAAAAAGAAAAAAAAAAATGCGATTTACATTACATTCGAGTAATATATTAAAAATTAGCTATATGTTTTCTTATAAATATGTACCGATTCCGATTCCTCCATAAACTGCAGTATCTCGAGCTCTAGATAAGGATCGTTGTTCTGTAAGAACTTCCAGCCCTCGGTTTCCTCGACAGCCTTGAAATTCTCCGACAAAAGTTTCATGCACCGGAGGTAGAGATCGGGTGCATCGCAGAGCCGTGCCAGCTGGAGCATGTCCACTATGTTGTCGAGGTACAGCCTCTTGGCCAGATCTCTTGTACATCTCTGCTTCAGCTGTTGTACCGAGTACACGTGGGACAGCGCCAGCAGGTGAATACCGTATTTCACCATCTGATCATCCGTGCATCTGCAGGAGACGAAGGGCAAATTCGTCATTTTGCTGCTTTATTTTATTTTTTTGCGGCCCGGTGAGAAGTTGGAGCCAGCCGTAATTCGTCGCGCCAACTAAAAATAGTAGTTAATTATTTTGAAATGAATTATTTTAATTAACCACCACTGAGAGGGTGACACGTGTAGGAAGAAAATATAAATGGAAAAGGCCAATTTTGAGTTGTCTTTCCTATTATTATTATCATTATTTAGTCAAGTTCGGTGGTCTAATTAAAAATTTGTTCCCTACATTTTAATTTTACAAATAATACTGCTTATAATTATGAACTCTTTTAACTTGTATCATTTAAATTTATTTAATTAATAACTAAATTTATTACTTTGCTCAAAAAACATATATAATGTGATAATAATAAATAAAAAAAAAATTGGTACAATAAAGGAGGCATAGACGTAAGATTACTATGCTAACAATTTATTAGTTGTAATTTTTGAATGAAATTTGATAATTAGTGCATCAAAATATATGTAATAAAATATGT